AGAGCTGTCTTAAATTATGCTGGGGCCCCAGAGTAAGTCAGGGTCAGAAGGTCAAAGGTGGCTTAAAGCAAGCACAGGCTTTCTGTGGTGTCCTAAAGGAACTTCATTCTTGCATCAATATTTAAAAAAAAAAAATTATATATATATATATATATATAAAAATACAAAACCCTTAGGAAGAAAAAATGTGTGTACATGCTAGCCTCGACAGCAATTATATAGTTAGTTTTATCCAGAACTGGTTTTACATTTTTCCTTTATAAAAATTATATAGGAGTAGAACTTTACCAGAATTTTTTCCCTAAGAGACATTTATTTATATCTAGGGTACCTCATATACCCTGTGCCAGAATTATCATTCTTGCATTACCTGATCAAGACAACAAACAAAACTCTTTGTTTTGTGAGCAGTGCAACATCAGTGACTAACAGTTTCTTTGTTCTTCATAGTCTGAGTACTGTCAATTGTATGGTGGTCTGTTTTGAAAGAATGTAGTTACCTTGGACTTTGCATATAATGAAGGAGGTTATTTAGTTCTAATAAGTAATCTCACTCTAACTTCAGGTCATTTTACAGTCTGGGTGTGTTCAAACCTAAAAAGTCAGACATCTCAGAAATACCCGACAAAGCAGCAACAATAGGTCAGTGAAACCTCTGAAAACTCCAGGAGCCCCCCACTGGTCTACGACAAGCAAGAAGCAAATCACTGCTTAGGTATTTAAACATATCCCACCATTTTGACAAGAACGACAATTTGAAATCACTAATTAAACCGAAGATCACACCTTAACAAAACATTTAGCCTCTACCACTCCATCATGCACAATTTCACTCTGAAGATTCAAGCAAAAAACAGATCTTGCACCACCACTTATTTAATTGCTGATTAGAAATAAGGAAAGAGATAGCAATTTAATACAAAGTCTACGCACTTAACAGACCCAATGTTGATCCATATTTCATTGTTTCATATGAAATGTGTACAGTACCTTTCATCTCTAGAGCTCAAGTTATTTACTGAGGTGGGTAAAATTTGTCAATCTCCAGAGATGCAGAGAGCAAGTGTGGTGTTTAAGCATCTAGTTCAAGCTACCTGAACTGACACAGAACACCAAGACATTCTGATTTCTAAGTTTACAAAAAATCCAATAAAATATACCATGTCGTCCACCCTATATTTTACTAGACACCTATATTCTGAGAAACCCACTCTAACACTGGGAAAAGTTATTAACATTTTTATGGTAAATATTGGATCTGTCTTATTCTCAGATTCACAAAAATGAAGCCATAATTATTTTTTCCATGTAAACTTCTCAGAGTTCTGTTATCTGCAGACAACCTACTGTGTCTGTGACAAGCATATTCATAATATTAAATAGGCCTTGAAAAATCCATTTACCCCTGGTGAGCAGGCATGTTATTCTAGCAAGCCAGGGGGCCTTTGCATCAATTCCTCAATATTGGGGGGAGGGGGGGGGGTTAGTTTTAAAAGTTAGAAGCCTGTACAATTCCCTTCTAAAAGTAAACCATTGCTACAGAACCTTTTCAAGTCTGCATACAGCTTTACTGCTTCTACCACTACACAGATTCCCAGAAGAAGCAACAGAATAAAATTATATCAGTCAGCTTCTGTAACTATTCACTTTCTGGGGAGCAGCGAAGCAATCAAGTACATGTCAATCTCATGCTTATTAAGAAAGAAGCAAGCATTACTGGGCATGGGCACAGGAGATTCCCAAGGGAGGTGCATGATCATCACAGTGGCTCTTCCCTACTTCAGACACCTTCAGACACCCCCGCCCCACTCCAGCCACCACTGCTGTAGCTTCCACTCACCAACTGTGGTGAGGGTAAAATCAGTAGCAATCCACAGCTGAAGTACAGGGCACAAACCCACCTGAGGAACACTGGGGTAGAACAGCAGTCAGCAAAGTTTTCTGGCAGCAGGCTAGAATGACCCAGCTTGAGTTAAAGGCAAAGTACTTTGCCATTTAGCCAGGGCATGGGCAAAGCCCACCTCCCACAAAAGTGGGCAAAGTCTCTGGCTCCACAAGCCTGATTCAATGGCTTTACTGATGTTGCCAACCCCTGTGATGGATGACTCAAAAATTAAAATATGCTGGGAAACTGGAAATGGATGCTTACTATGCATAATCTCTTAGCTGCAAGAAGAAAAAGGGGCAGACTTGTAGAGACTCTCCCAATCCTGTTTGCCAAATCTCACAGATGAGACTAAAAGCTCTTCCTCCTTTGCAGAAATGTCAGAAGGAGGGAGATTAACGTTAATTTTTTAAAAGACCCGATAACCAGAAGTGGATATAATAAATGGGGTCCCTTAACAAGCTTCCACCTTTTGAGGAGGAGGTAAGCAGCCAACATTGGCAAAAAAAACAGGTTGGGGACTATTTAGAAAATCTGGACATGTACAAGTCCATGGTGCCAGATGCACCTGAGGGTGCTGAGGGAGTTGGCTGATGTGACTGAAGAGCCACTGGCCATTATCTTTGAAAACATGTGGTAATCAGGGGAGGTCCCAGATGATTGGGAAATGGCAAACACAGTGCCCCTCTAAGAAAGGGAAGGAGGAGAACCCAGGGAACTACAGACTGGTTGGTCAGCCTTGCCTCAGTCCCTAGAAAAATTATAGCAGGGCCTCAAGGAATCCATTTCTAAGCACTTGAAGGAAAAGGAAGTGACTAGGAACAGTCAGCATAGTTTCACCAATGGCACATCATGCCTGACCAACTTGATTGCCTTCTGTGATGAGAAAACAGGCTCTGTGGATGCAGGGAAAGCAGTGGATGTGATATACCTTGACTTTAGTAAGGTTTTTGATACAGTCTCCCAAAGCATCCTTGCAAACAAGTTGAGGAAGTAAGTATGGGTTTGCTGAATGGACTGTAAGGTGAACAGAACACTGCCTGGAATGCCAGGTTCAACAGGTAGTGATCAATTGCTTGATGTTCAGTTGGCAGCCAATATCAAGTAGAAGGCCCCAGGGGTCAGTCCTGGGGCCAGTTTTGTTCAACATCTTCAACCATCTGGAAGATGGGATGGATTGAACTGTAAGCAAATTCAAGGATGACTCCAAGCCATGGGGTGTGATAGATATGTTAGAGACAGATAGGACCTAGACAAATAGGAGGACTGGGCCAAAATAAATATCATGAGGTTCACCAAAGCCCTGCACTTAGGACAGATGAATCTCATGCACCGCTATAGGCTCAGGACCAACTGCTAAGCACCAGCTCTGCAAAAAAGGACCTGGGAGTTACAGTGGATAATAAGATGGATATGAATCAACAGTGTAACCTTATTGTCAAGAAGACTAACAGCATACCGGGCTGCATTAGTAGGAATGTTGCCAGCCAATCAAAGGAAATAATTATTCCCCTGTATTTGGCACTGGTGAAGCCATATCTGGAGTCATGTTCAGTTTTGGGCCGCCACTATAGAAAGGATGTGGACATGAACGGTGAGTGCCCCCAGCAGCTGGGGGGGGCACAGCAGCAACCAGCAGGTATCAGGGACCACCCACAGACAGCAGCAGGGTGGCAAATGGCAACCGCCTGCAGGTGGTGCCTTTTTGCAGGGGGTGCACCACCATGCTCTGAACGCGCTGCCCCTGGATGTGGACAAGTTGGAGCAAGTCCAGTGGAGGGCAACAAAAAAGGTTAGGGCTCTGGGATACATGGCTTTTGAGGAGAGGCTGAGGGAACTGGGCTTATTTAGGCTGAAGAAGAAAAGACTGAGGGGGGATTTAACAGCAATCTTCAACTACTGAATGAGGGTTCCAAAGAGGCTGGAGCTAGACTGTTTTCAGTGGTGACAAATAAAAGAACAAGGAACAACAGTCTCAAGTTGCAGCAAGGGAGGTTTAGGTTGGACATTAGGAAAAAAAAATCTCTCACTAGGAGGGTGGTGAAGCACTGCAACAAGTTACCTAGAGAGGTGGTGGAATCTCCATCCTTGGCAGTTTTTATGGCCTAGTTTGACAAATCCCTGGCTGGATTGATTTAGGCAAGGATGGTCCTGCTCTGCGCAGGGGGTTGGATAGAATTTAAGTGACCTCCTGAGGTTCCTTCCAACCCTAATTTTCTATGATACCTCCTTAATAGAAATAGCTTCC